GTTAGATGTAATTTGATTAATTTTCTAGCTCTGATAGGACAAATAAGATTTATGTATTTTAAGTTGTTTACTTTCGTTTGGAATTATGAGATTGAATTATTATAACTTTATGATATGAGACTTTCACTTACTTGTGAGATTGATATATATTAAGTTATTGATTATCTTGCATTTTTATTATTATTTCAACAAAATTAACGTTAAATATAAATTCAAAATTAACAAATTTTTTTTAATAATTCAATGACATTAAATATAAACTTAAAATTATTTGTAATATAATTTTTTTAATTTCTTAAAAAATTTATAAATATCCCTGGATATCCATGGGTATTCAAGAAATTCATGGATACCTGCTTAATGGATATCCGCTTAATGGATACCCGCGCGGATATAAGATGGGTGTGGGGCCAATTTTTATCCAGCGAGGCGGGGACGAGTTTACTATTACCCGCCCCCATGGGGCCCCATTTCCATCCCTATATAAGGGTCCTTTCATTTTCCCGGTTAAAAAAGATGCCTCCACGCTCCAATATGTAATGTGACACCCTCTACCCCACATACGTAATACACAATAAATATAAAGTACATTCTTGAGCAAATAAAACTTTTTAATCGAAACAAGGTTCCAAACCACATAGATGGAGAGTTCACATTCATATTTCGCAAATTATAGTCCAATGCAGAAATGATGACAAAATAAAATATTAACCTTTCCAAAACACAATAACAGTAATGAAACTCCAATGCTAATCCTAACTAAGTCCCGATGTCACATGCCCTATCAGAGCACACCCCACAATGAGACTTAAACCTCATCACCAATATCCTCATATTGATGATCATGTGCAACATAATAAAAATACACATAGAGCAACAAGGGAGTGTGTGGTTTTCTGAGCAAGCACACCCAAGTCTCTCTAGTATAGTAAAAAGGTTGTCGGTCCTCAGGGACTTGTGAAGTAGATTTTGATTTCCATTACACTAATTGTTACTTGTAAATTCAAAGCTTGAATAATCACACATGTCAAATATTTGATGTGAGCAGCAATTTAAACTTAAGTAACCAAAATCAAGTTAAATTTAAGGAAAACAAATATGAGAAATAGTTGGGATTAAATTTCATCAATCTCCCTCCTATGTATTCCTAATGATTCTTGCAAATGATTCCATTACTCATTGCTATTGAGTTCTCTATATTTATTCAGAGACAATTCCTTGGCATAAGAAATTCTAAGATATTTAACTCAATGAATGATTCCTCACTTCATTCAGTTAAATGTCTTGCATTAAGAACCAGAACTTGTTACAACTATTAATTTCAAAACTAGGGATGGCAACGGGGCGGGTCGGGTACGGGTTTCATGATACCCGTTCCCGTCCCCGTGAGTCAAAGTCCACGTACCCATACCTAGGGATGGTAATTGAGCCCCATGGGTGCGGGTAATAGTAAACCCGACCCCGCCCCACTAGATGAAAATTGGCCCCATATCCGCGTGGGTATTCATTAAGCAGGTATCCATGAATTTCTTGAATACCCGTGGATATCCATGGATATTTATAAATTTTTTAAGAAATTAAAAAATTATTTTTAAGTTTATATTTAATGTAATTGAAATAGTAAAAATAAAAATTCAATGTTAATTTTGAACTTGTATTTAACGTTAATTTTGTTGAAATAATAATAAAAATGCAAGATAATCAATAACTTAAAATACATCAATCTCACAAGTTAAAGTCTCATCATAAAGCTACAATAATTCAATCTCATAATTCCAAACAAAAGTAAACAACTTAAAATACATAAATTTTATTGGTCTAATCAAAGATAGAAAATTAATCAAATTACATCCAACATAATTCTATAACATGATTAACATATGTTGGTAACTTCATCAACCTCACTTTTGTAAGGAAAAAAGATGAGAGATTGTAGTTTTAGGGTTATGTGGTACAAGGATAATTAGGATATTTGAGAAATATTATTAAATGGGTATCTGCGGGTATGGATATCATCATACCCACCCCCGCACCGTTTATAAATGGGTAAAAAATTATCCGTCCCCATTATTCGCGAGTACCCAATTAACCTATCCATTTATTATCTATAGCGGATTTTACCCGCAGATACCCGCAGGTACAGGTATTTTTGCCATCCCTACCCGTACCCGTCGAGTATGTGATTTTCATCACCATCCCTCTCCCTGTCAATTTTGTATTTTTTGTAAAAAAAATATGATATTTTTAAATTATAGCTCTGATAGGACAAATATGCATATAAATATTTTTTTTTATTATAAATTAATGATTTAAAGACCGAATAGAATTTTGTCGGTAATTTTAAGTTTTATTTAAAGACCAAATAGAATTTCGTCGCTAATTTTAACTAATATTTAGCGACCAAATAGAACTTTGTTGCTAATTTTAACTAATATTTAACGACCGAATAGAAATTCATCGCTAATTGTAACTAATATTTAGCAATAGAATTTAATTCTTTCGTTAAAAAAATTAAAATTTCTGATTTAGCGATCGAATTCATTTCCGTCGCTAATTTTAACTAATATTTAGCTACCGAATTTAATTCCGTCACTAAAAAAATCAAAATTAGGGTTTAATTTAGCGACCGAATTGAATTCGATCGCTAAATTTAACCCTTATTTAGGTACTAAATAGAATTTCGTCGCTAATTTTAACTAATATTTAGCGACCGAATTTAATTTCGTAGCAAAAAGAATCAAAATTTCTAATTTAGCGACCAAAATAGCGGTTGATTTTCTAGCGATGACTTATTTTGGTTGCTAAATCGGTCGCTATTTTGATTATTCATAATCGGTCGCTAAATCAGTCGCTAAATAGCAATTGATAAATTTCGGTCGCTAATTTCAGTCGCTATTTTGCAATTTTCTAGTAGTGACAGTCCGTTCTGGATTTATTTGTCATGTATTAAATTCGCATCTAGAACGGCCCGTTCTGGAGTTGAGTTTTATCTCATAACAACCATGTTTGGAACGACCCGTTCCCAACTAGGGTTTATAGGCCTTTTTGGTGATTTGGAACACCCCGTTCGAATTTGGGAACGGCTCGTTCCGTTTTGGGAACGGCTTGTTCTAGGCTACTAAATCACCCTTATTGGGCTTTGGGCCTTATGATGTCATATCATGTTATTTTCCCAAGCTTTGGGAGCTCCTTTCTTTAATAATAGAAATTCATTCCTTTAATATAAAATATGAAAACTGAGGTGTTACATGTAACACAAATCAACCAAAGAACCGTGCATGTTCTTGTCAACCTCTTGTTCGATCTCGATTGCGACCACAACTACGCATCCTCCACTTACCACCTAGCACGGTGCCTCTCCCACTGATGCTCTCTCTCCGATGCTACCAACAACTCGAGAATTGAAGAATTACAAACGAAGATGTAAAAAAAACAATTTTGAATTATGTGAATTGAAAATTAAACATTGTTATTGTAAGAGTTGCAAATACTTATAAACATCCTATATAATATTCTTGTAGAATTTATAGTTGAATAATTAAAAAAATAGAGTTTCATTTCATAAAATAATAATAAAAAAAAAAGTCATTGAATTAGTCGAACAAGCAAGTATCAAAGGAGTTCAAGTACAAATTGTAGAATGTATCAATGAAAAAAAATTGCACATGTTGAGTGGACAAGAGGATAAGTTTCTTCTACAAACCATTCCAGTGAAAATTGATTATTGTTGCTACAAATATAAAAAGATGAAAGGTTTAATTACAAAAATTTTAGTTTAGGGACTTAATTGAAAATTCTTAAAAATTTAAAGAAATAAATTATGTATTAAGCCTAAATAATAATAGTTACAAATTTATTAGCCACAAAAATAAAGGCAAAATTGCTAGAAAATTGTCTTAATTAACTTGTAACCAATTTTAGAAAATTTCTAACTATTTCGTAGCTAGCTTTTAGCAATATTTCCTAATTACCACTATACAACTAATTAGTAGATTGTTAGCACTATTTATTAGTATTTTCTAAACACTACTTAATGAATTTTAGCAATATTTTCTAGTTTTAGAAAATACTACTAACAATATGCAACACTGCGTCGATCTAGCTGACGATAATAGTTTTTACTTTTTAAAAAACGTTACTAGTTTCAGTCATGGTCTATGCTAACTAAAAATAATAAAATTAACAGAAAATATCTTAGTATCAATTTCATGTCATAGTATGAGACAATGCGATAACACTATAAGAAATAGTACATATAATGACATAAAAAAAGTATCACTATATGCACAATATATATAGATATATGTCTATTTGACATATAGTTATACATAATTTTAGTGTTGATTTTGAATGAAATTTAACAACATATTTTATATGTTACTATAATTTATACTCACACTTTTTAACAATATATCAACATATATTATATTTATTGTATGAGTAAATAATTTTTTAATAACATGTATAATTAATGTTAATATAGACTGTGTGTCATTATATAATAATTTTTTTTGTAATATAATCCACCCTAATCATAATTGGATGACACTAATTTGTGGTTTTCTTGTCGTGCGTGAAATGAACTGGATGACACTAATTTGTGATTTTCTTGTAGTGCGTGAAGTGTGTACTTGAGTCAATAGGCTAGTATTTAATTTTAACTGCGTCCCACCATAAGCAGAGGTAATGCTTGTGATATTCCATTGTACATGATTTATATAAATTTGTAAGAATTCCAATTAACCATGCAATGAAAAGCCACTGACCAAAATACGCGACATGAACAACCAATTTTATATTAGTTCAAAAGACCACGACATAACATTTGATGCAGCAATGAGAGGATAGAAATACCCCTTAATTCGAAACATGTCAAATATTAATATTAATATTAATTAACTATATAAAAATAAATAAAAAAATCTTAACAAATGAAGTTATGCATCGATGCATGCTTCTTAATTATATATGTCCCTAACCATCAGAAGGAAACAAGCAAGTGTAACATAATTTGTCAGCTGCCTAACTTTTTCTCAGAATGGATCATAACCTGCACCCTACAAATTAAATATGGGTATTGTTCAAAGCAATTTCACTTAGCATAGAGGAGATAAATTAATTAAAAACAAAGGATACATTTTATATCACATCACATGGCCTTGGCCTTCACCATTCCCTAGCAAGGAAAGTATGTAAATTGGAAGTTTCCATTTATGTACTCTTGTACATATCTCTTTCAGAAGAATAATTAATCAGACCTTCCATGGCAGCAGAGTTGTTAAACAATTCATGAATACTCTCACATCCTGCTGTTCTAAATGCTTCAACAGCCATCATAATGTCATCATCTTGCAAGATTGGCTCATAGCTTTCCATTGTCTTTTGAGTTTGACTACTACTTTCTTTAACATTACCATCAACCTTATATGAGAGTGAAATTTCGGTGTCAGTGAATTGCCCTACATTGGTTGAGACAGTACACTTTTTATTTGGGAAGCTCCACGTGGATATCGGTGATTGAAGATCATGATTGGTGACAAGTGTGAGGGCATACATGTTATACACTGTGTTGTTGAGTGTAGTTGATGGTGAATCTGATGAAATAAAAGGTTGAATGGGGATTTTGCTTGTGACTAGCTGTGAGGGAAGGAAGGAGCTAGCTCCAACTTGCAACATGGATTCTCTAGCTTCAGCTTCAAGTCGAGCACTCTCCCATTGTGCCATGTGGCTCATATTGGTGGCATGTTTGGAGTGGTCACCACCAACATAGGCTTGAGATTTTGGTTTGTGGGTAATGGGATCTAATCCCATTCTGATAAGCCTTTTCTTGATGTTGGTGTTCCAATAATTCTTTATCTCATTGTCTGTTCTCTCGGGTAAGTGAGATGCTATAATTGACCATCTGCATGTGGATTATATATTACATGACCGAATACAAAAAGGCTATTTGTAGCATTGTTTATAAAAATTATATTTTTTTGTTAGAGTAAACATTCAAATTATTCTTTAAATTTAGAATAAGTTGTAATATTCGTACATAAAATTAAGAAAATGTAAAATATGTCTATAAAAGTACAAATTCACAATCATATTACTTCAAAACATAAAAAAAAATGTGATTAGAATCAGATATATATTAAATGACCAAAATGAGTTGTTAAATTAAAGGATTTATTTGACATTTTAGCGACATTTATTTAACAATTTTTTAAGTTTAAAAACCAGTATATAATAGCATCTTCCAAAATCAGAGCCAAAATGGATGTTTACTGATTTTTGTTATATACTAATCTGGTTGAAATGGTCTTTCTACCCTGGTTGTTCAACAAATTTACACCCTGATAAAATGAAATATAGGATTATTTTATATCAAACAAAAAATCAATGTAGAATAGACCACTCTACATCCGATATGGTAAAACTGTAAAAATTAAATGAGTAGAAATATAATTTTTCATCTCTTAGGTGTAAATTTGTGACAGTTGGAAAACAATGACAAGAAATAATGTGGTTGTTTCATATTAACATTTACCATTCTAACAATATAAAAAACTCATCAAATCCAAAACAAAGCTCACTTGTTTCCAAGAAGAGCATGAAGTTGAATAATGGTGCGATCTTCTGAGAAGCTAAAGTTCCCTCGTTTTATATCAGGTTTGAGGTAGTTAATCCACCTCAGCCTGCAGCTCTTTCCACATCTTCGAAGACCTAGATACATGTATATGTAGCATACAGTAACTCATAATAATTAAATAGATATGAAAAAACAAATAGACAGTGAACAAAAGTTGCATTATTACCCGCTTTGGCAGGCACTGAATTCCAGTTTCCATGGCCATGCTTTTGAACATAAGCAACGAGCTTGTTGTCTTCTTCTGGTGTCCATGGTCCTTTCTTCAACCCTACCTTCTCACAGCATGGCATCATTCCCATTTTTAAACGGCAAATGCTTTTAATTACTTGTTCTTACGCAGCATGTAGCATAGTCCTATACTCCTATATATAGAGGATAAATATGATGAACTAGTAAAGGATGATCGATAGTTTGTGGTCCTATGCTAAAAAAAAAAAAAAAAAAAAAAAAAATAATTTGTCTATCCTCGGTCGCCTAACATCTGATTGAAATAAAGGCTCCAATTCGATCCACTAGGAAAACGTTACTTAATATATTCATCTGTCATCTTTAAGAAGATGGGGTCAGGATCAAGGTGGTAGGTCCCTATGTCCCCCCACGTCCTTTCCCACCATTTAAAACTAAATAAATAAATAACTGTGTGCTTACTTTCATTCCATTGTTATTCGTTGAATATTTTGTTCGAATATTTTTAATCTATCATCAGAGAATATTAGTTCTTAAGAAAAGGTTAATATGTCTGCAAAAACTTAGTATTGACCACCGATACAAACGTTGGTAGTGTTCGCTTTGCATTAGTTTAGCTCATGCTAAGTGTGATTTACTATTCTTTTTATTTTTAATACTTTTGCTCAACTTAGTATATGGGTTTGTTGTAATGATTCATTAGATTCCTACACTTTATAACCTAATAATTAATAACAAAAACAAACATCTAACTATCTATAATTAACATACAAATAATATCCATATATATATATATGAGGAGGGATCCTTTTACAGAGTAAGTCTACATAGACTTATTTCGTTCAATAACTCATATTTTACATTAAATTTTAACGATCCAACCGTTCAATTTAATGTTCTTAATACATAGATTAAATCTGCAAATTTTTAGAAAATTTGAAAATCATTTGATATTTCATTTCATTAATTCAAATTGACGGATAATCATAAAATCATTTTATACATTGATTTGAATTAATGAAACGAAGTATCAAATGATTTTCAAATTTTCTAAAAATTTACAGATTTGATCTATGCATTAAGAACTTAAAATTAAACGGTTGGATCGTTGAAATTTGATGTAGAACATGAGTTATTGAACGGAGTAAGTCAAGGTAGACTTACTCCTAAATTAAGTAAAAGGATCCCTCCTCTCTCTCTCTCTCTCTCTCTCTCTCTCTCTCTCTCTCTCTCTCTCT